TTTAACACCCTGGTTTTGGCACGATGCTGTTTCGTTTGGCGCGTTCTCCTCGTCTCGTCTCGTCTCGTTTTGTTTTGTTCGCCGTGTTCTGCTTTGGTGTCATGCGTGCTGTTTCGTTTCCAGTATTCGGTGCCATCGGACTATGCAGCAAAGCACCTCTTCCAAAGGCGGGATTCTTTTGCAATGATGCTTCGATTAATTATCCCTTTCACGAAAAAGATACGGTGACAGATGCGTCGTTGTACGTAGTGGGGGCTATTCTTCCCATAATCTTGGTAAGTTACAGCCGACAGTGTTAAAGCAGACGTGTACATAACAGCTTGAACCCAGTATTGAAATGAGCAACTCGGCATGCACCAGTGCTTCTTGCATCTTTGTGCTCACACACTAACACAAACATGTCTTGGCAGTGCTTTCATCTCCTCGAAAACTGTTGGGATGTGTGCTTGGTTACACTCTTTTTTTCAATCGAAACACGGTGGACATTGCCGTCCTTCAGGGTACATTCAGGCGATACGGGTGCTTGCTGCCTTCCGTAACTGACGTCGGCTGACTGACGGGCCCGCGGCGCCGGTCAACATCCGGCTGGAGCGAGCTGTTGCGCGACAGGGCGGCTCAGTTTGGGCGGCCGTGTGGCGAGCCCAGCGCACGTGCGACGGTCTCCGTCGGAGGGGCGTGTCCGCGGCGTCGCGTCTGGTCGGGGTTTTCGGGGCTGTCCGTGCGTCCACGGCGGCCGGGGGTCGTGCCGGACACATCAAGTCATCCTGCCTGGGGCGCCCCCCCCCCCCCCCCCCCGTTGCCGGCGGGGCGGCGCTCAGCGTCAAGGCCAGGACATGGCGCCGACGCCCCGGGATGAGTGTGGCATGGGCGCGACGATCGGGTCACCCGCACTGGCTCGAGCCGTGGCCGGGATGTGTGGAGGGCATGTGAACAAAGGGCTACGCAAGGAATGCAGTCTGGCGGAAAGTGGTAATGCATTGCTGCCATCCATGTGCATGTGGCGTAAAACTGGGAAATCGTTCACTTACTAAACTACATAGAGTGAAAATAGGAAAAACGATAAGTAGCAAAGTGATATCGTGATCGATTTTCAAAAGCCTTTGAAACGCTTCAGTGCGAGATGTAATCAAAAAATGAAAATAGTTTTGCTTCGAAATTTGCGAAGTTTGCCGTCTGGCCTCCTTTATGCTTGCGTCACCTTGCCACGTGATCGTGGTTTTGGTTCATACATTACCGAGACTGACCTTCGCTATAATAGCTTCCAGTGGATTTTATATCAGAGGGAGGGCGAGGGTAGGGGGCACGGGGAAGGCCATCTGGAGCTCTGTTGGGGTATTTGGGGAGTTATGCGGTCTGGTCTGCACGGAAGCATGCCTTGCGGGCTCGCCTGCGGGCCTGCACCAGACCGCTGGCGCTGCTGGTCGGGCTGACCTCGAGTACCTGGCCACATCGGCCTACCGTCTTTGACACTGTGTAAAGCCCAGCCTGAGGCGTTTGTTCCGGGAGGCGCCATGGTCGTGTTCAGAGCATCGTCCGGGACATGACGGGCGGCGTCCTCTGTTTTTCAGTGGGCTTCTCTGTCCTAGCCTTTTACCTTGCCGGCCGGCCGTACGAACGGGGCTTCTTCTGTGACGATGAGACAATTCGGCACCCGTACCGACACGGTACGGTCTCCTCGACCGTGCTCTACTCTCTCGGTTTTGCGCTGAACATTGGAGTGGTGAGTGCATGCCCCCCACCCCAACCCCCGCCCCTTCGTGAACGTCGCCGGGGAGGGGCGCTGGAAGCACCAGCGCTCTGCTGACGTCACCTGGAAATCCCGAGGCAGCTGTCGAGTGGCCGATCCCGATGGCCGCGGGACGTATTTCTGATCCAGCCGTTGGAGCTCCTGAGCCGGACGTTCGGGTTTGGACCGTTGGGATGGATGGAGCTCGCTGGCGTTTGAGTTGTGATCTTAGGCGGGCGCCCCACGATCCGCTGAAGCCTGCCGCTCTACCAGACCTGGTTCGAGCTCCTTGAGACCTTCGTTCGAGCTGTGGGCCCCGGTGGGCGCCCAGACCGCCCACTGATATACAGACCTCGCTCGGTGCGGGTGGGGCGACATGAGCAGGTCCGGGCTGAGGATCGTGACGGGCGCAGATCAGACCCCCTCCCCCGAGCGTCCCCGGCGTGCTCTCCAGCTGCCGGTCGCGCTGGTCTGAGTTGTCCCCGGCCGGTCGGCTGTGCTGCGGCGGCGCGCGTGGCAAGCGCTCGTAACGGGTGGCGGTGACCGAAGGTCGGCGTCGCACCTCGCCGCCGCCGCCGCTGCTGCCACTGCCGAGACGCCAGAGCGACCTGGCCGGCCTCGAACCCACGTCCGGTGGTCTATCGCCAGAGATGGGGTCATGCAATGCTTGATCCCGCGCTCTCTTGCATGACTGTGTCAAATGCCGCTGTCAGTGCAGGGCATTGATGTGTACATGTGTTTGTTGCGCCAGCGGTGCATGCGCATGTCGTGTTGGCTATTAACTTGGCCTTGGGAAGGGGCGAAAATGGAAGCCGAGAGACATGTGAGAAGTGGCTGGGCGGCCTGGTTGGGTCCAGACAGGATGCGTGGCATGGATAAACGGAGAGGATTCTGCAGTCTAGCTCGTCAGACATTTGAGGGAGCCAGACCCAGCCGTCTGCGCATAGTGGTATGCCGTTGCGTGTGTCGCACCGGCTCCAACACGCCGCGGGGGAACTGGGATGGAGGCACCGACTGAAAGCAATGCCCTGCAATATGGATTCGGCTATTCCCATTTCCCAGAAATGTGCAGCACGAGTCTGGAAATAATTCCAATAAGGTGCTGGTCCGACGTACTAAAAGTTGCCCCGCACCCTTTTATGGAGCGCCTGCAGCTACCGCGGCTATGGTAGCTCCCAGAGGTGGGGCACGTGCTGGAAATCGAACCTGGACTTCCAACAGCGAAACCGGCATCGTTAGACACGACTATAGGCACCGTGAAATGTGATATCTACTTGGAGACCCTCGTATCTGCCTAAATGTGCGTAATTCTATTCTTGATTCGACGTCATGATGACTTATCACGACGCATGATTATCCTTTTTGATGTTACTAACAACACGTTCGGTCGATCGGGCTACGCCACGCTTTTCTTATCAGTAGTGTTACCCCCCCCCCCCCCCCGTAATAACGCCTTGCAGACGGGTTCAAAGTTCCTGTTGACTCGCACCCCTGAACGGCATTCATGTGACAGGCGTCAGTGTTTCATACCTGCGTCGGTTTTAGCACTCAGTGTCATGACATAGTCAGTCTGCACATAGAATGCCGGTAGTGTAGTGATTAACGCGTCTGCGTTAACCGCTGCGCGTCTGGGAAACCAGAGGTATGGGGTTCGATTCCCCGCGGTGCCCGCCCTCCCCGCCAGGGTGAGAGGCAGGCGACGCCATATAGCCTCAGCAGCTGAGTGCGTCGTAAAGCCCCCATGACGCACAAATAGTCGGGCCACCAAGTGGCTGGTTCATCTTGAGTTGCATTTTAGGATCCGATTAAGGCTAACGGCATTGAGTAGAGGCAACCAGGAACTTGCAGGCGTTATTATTTTTGAAGTACAGCTGGGTATGAACTATTGGTACTGTGACAAGCCAGGTTGTGAAGGTTGGGGCGCGAAGCATACCGTAGGGTTTGTGTACTGTGCTATCCTCCTGACGTTGTATGGGTACAACGCCAGGGGATGGTATTGTAGGGCCGCCGCCCTGAGCACCATCCTCCCGTCGTTGTACTGATCAGCAGCTCCCCGCACTCTGCCACCGGCCAACCCGCCCTCATCCCGCCGACCACCCGCTGGCCTTCTGCTGTGTAAATACACGAGTTCGTGGTCCCACGGCCACGACGCGGGCCGTCCGCTGATTTGCTGGCACGTTGCCAGGGAAGGGGGCTGTCCGGAAGTCGTAGAGCTGTCGTTAGTTTCGTTAGCCCCTGTCTGAGAGCATGGGGGGAATCTCTCACTGATTTGACGAAGGTGCACTGGCAAGCGATGTGCGGTTCGCGGGCGAAACGTATTCCCTTGTCAATGCACGTGTCCGTTCAGTGTTAAGACTGGCGGACGTACGGTATGAAACCTTGTGACCGGCCTTTGGGGGCGAGGAATCCAATGGAAGGACTGTATTCTGTGTTAGGGTATTGCTTTTTTGCAATATAGTTTTTAGAAGGTTTAATCCGAAACTTTTGAATGGATCGATTTTTTTGGGATCGGAGCTCACGCTATGCATTGCTTGTTGTGTGAGGCCTGACCCCCACCAGCCAATCGCGCAATTCCATGTCAGCGGCAGAATTTGGTGGCGAAAGCGTAACGTGCGGCAGTGCTCGGCACGGTCCGTGCTGGAAATTTATGTTTGGATGCTTTCGAAAGGAACGTTCCGTCTTTCCGTTTAATGCAGAAACATGCCAGTTAGCGAATAACGTGTTTTTCAATTTGGAAAGTACGTGTTGGATAAGAATTGTCGATTTTGATTCACACACGAAACAAGAAAGAGACACAAGCAACCACAACATTACAAAACGCAATTTATTTTCGCAGCCATATCCGCAGTCTAGAAAATTGCACCATTAGTATATGATTATATATATATATATATTTATTTATTTATATATATATTTATTTATTTATTTATATATACATATATATATATATATATATATATATATGCAGTACATGCTCAGCTTGCTGCTTGCGCGGAGCACGCCACGGCATTAGCGGCTTGTGAGCACGGTGTTTAACATCCCGAGGTGGCATGCTCAGCTCGGTAAACCCAAAACCTGCCTGCGTGTCCGCTAGCAAACTCAAGCCGGCGCCCTGAGTCCTGCGGTGGTCAGGTGGCCGTCGGCGCGCCGCCGCCAGCGGCGGGTCGGGGCGCTGGACGCGAGGCAGACCGCCCGCCCGTCCGCCCGCCGGCCCGCCCGCCAGCCTGAGCCAGCCGGAGCCAGCCGCCGCCACCGCCTCTGCTCTCCGTTGCAGTGGCCGCCCCCCTCCTGGTCTTCTACTATGCCGTCGAGCCGTTCCAGCGCGGCTTTTTCTGTGACGACGAGTCGATTAGGCACCCGTACAAAGCGGACACGGTGTCCACTGTGGCATGCTATATCGTGGCTGTTACGCTGTCGGTGATCATGGTGAGTGAGGCGCTCTCGTGGCGCCCATCCCTCTCCGTTTTCCCGGTTCCTCGACCCCAGCTCCGATTGTCTTTCGTTCATACTAGTATCCTTCAGTGATGTGCGCCCTTTGTCATTTTGCTTCGTGGTGGGCTTGTTATGGTCTTGCGTTATAAACCTAAAGATCCCGCAACAACCCCGCTGTGCGTTCGTGCTCTTTCGCATTTCATTTCGATCGCAGCCTGTGGCACGTTGTATTTTTTTCTATAGACCTCTAGAGCTTTTGAAAGCCGACATATCATTGGCACGGGCAACCGCATTAGCTTCTTTGTAGCTCTTCCTTTGTGGCGGAGAGGGCCGTGGCCAGGTCGCTTGGATCGGTCTGGCCCACCGGGGGGGGGGGGGGGGGGGCGGGAGACACCCCGGATACACGCGCACGGAGCGCGCTGGTGGTAGTTTTCCCTTACACCATTGACTGGTGTTGCGATCACTGCGATGGGAGAAACGGGGCTTGTCTCATCGGTGCCCCTCGCCCCCTGTCCATGCCGCCTGAACAGCTTAGGAATAAGAGTTTCTTGCTGATCGGCTGAGGACTTGTTGTGTATGTGCGTCCTCAGCGGGCGGTCATCACCAAGCGAGGTCCTAACTTGATTTAAAATATTCACAATACAGACGATTCTCGAATACCAAAAATGCGTCAATCCCCAAAATGACGTCCCACCAAGATGTCACCTTCATGTGCTTACCCAGCCTGGAGCCTTTGAAACTCCCCAGTCGGAAGACACCAGCTTCCTTCCAACTTTTTTGTCGTTTAGTATAGTGCATTTATGGGTGGTCATCAGGTTCCTCAAGCGAAGGACATAATGGGGTTGGATCGATGACATAGCTAGGAACATTTTGAGTCGTCCCGGAGCATGCGCGGGCAGCGATCGTTGATGCGCCGTACCTGCATTATTTTAGCCGAGATTGGGCCCGCTTCCAATACGACATGGATGACGTAGGAAAAGCCTCTCATTAGTATTTAGGAAATGGCCTGAGCGACAGAACATGACGCAGCCGCTGCCCGACTTGAGTGCGTCGCCGCCGCTGACCGACCAGGCTGGCGTGGGTTAGTCGCCATCCGGTAAGCTCGGCTGCGGCGAGACCCTCCGCCTCGGCGGCGCTCCCCCGGGCGTTCGGTCCGGCTGACCGGCGGCGCGCGGGGAAACCAGAGGTACGGGGTTCGATTCCCCGCGGTGCCAGCCCTTCCTGTCAGGGTGAGAGGCAGGTGGGGCCATATGGCCATGTAGCCTTAGCAGCTGAGTATGTCGTGAAATCCCCAATGACATGACACATGACCGCCGGCGCGGCGTACCCGTGCCGCGTCGGCCGGCGGCACGCCCGCGCGCCACGCCGTCGACGGCGCTGTGTGCTCGGGTCGCGCGAGATATTGATACAAGATACGCGCTGAGTCACTTCCTGACCAGGCGCGGGTCTGAGCGCGTCCGCACTCGGACGTGTGGCGTGATGGGACCGGACTCATGACAACTCTGGACTCGGGCTAAGGCGATTGCCATCATCTCAGAACTCGTGTCTCGGGACTCGGACCTTGCTTCAATGTCCTTGGATCCGGGACCCAGGTTTATGTTCAAGAAATTCGTGGACGTGCCTCATGCCCATACTCCACAACTGGGGCTCGGAGACTCTTCTGACTCTTTTTTAATCTGACTCATACTATTGCCTGAGCTAGCAGGTGAACACCGCGTCAGGTATTTCCGGGGAGGCTAGCCCAACTTTCGAGAGATCGCTCCAATTCTCCGCAGGTTTTTGTGCCACCGCACACCCGCCGCCGCGCCTCCCACAGCCGGTCCGCCGTTTTGACCCAGTTTGCTGCGCTGCATGTGTATGAGCCGACCACCAGCTGTGCGCTCACGCCCCTGTCTGGTGGGTTCGGTCCCGTCCGTCAGGGTCCGGTCCTGTCTGGTGGGGTCCGGTCGTATCTGGTGAGGGCCGGTCTTACCCGGCTGGGTCTGGTCCTGTCCGGCGGGGCCTGGTCTGACCGGCTCAGAGTCCAGTCCTGTCCGGCAGGGTCTGGTCTGACCGGCTCAGAGTCCGGTCCTGTCCGGCGGGGTCTGACCTGACCGGCTCAGAGTCCGGTCCTGTCCGGCGGGGTCTGGTCTGACCGGCTCAGAGTCCGGTCCTGTCCGGTTGGACCTGACCTGACCGGCTCAGAGTCCGGTCCTGTCCGGCGGGGTCTGGTCTGACCGGTTCAGAGTCCGGTCCTGTCCGGCGCGGTCCGGCTCGGGCCGGCCCCAGGTCCGCACGTCAGCCTCGGGCGGCGCCGAGTGACGCCGATCGGCCACAGGTGCGGCGGCCGCGCTGTGCGCCAGAGTGCCACGCCGTGCCGGTCCGCCCACTCTCTCCCGCGGGCTGTGGCTGCCGCGGTTGGGGAGGGGAGGGGGATTGACAGCATAGGGCCGTGTGGGCGATGGGCTGGATTTCCTGTGTCCGGGCCGGGCTGCCCTGGGTTAGGAGCACGGCCGCCTAGCCGGCTGGGGTAAACGTCACACCCTCTCCGGGAAAGACGGTGGCGTCCAGAGGTGGGCGGCCGGCTCATTTAGCGGCTGGGCTTAGCGGGAATGTTCCTGGTCGGTATGAAGCAGCGTTCGCTGATCCATACACAGCCATGGCCATTATTACTTTAAGTTGACGGTTGTTAGTTACCGCGAAGCGTTTTTGCTGAAGAAAAAGCCGTTTTCGAACCTCAGCCATATGTGCGGCCTTAAACGTAACTGGCGCGTTTAGGAATACTGCTAATGATATGTTTATGTTGACCACATTGACAATATAGGCGGAACCTTGATTTTTGTCTCATATTAACTCGGTTTTACCAACTAAGTTAGCATACCATCACTGTACAGCTTGTTAACATCGGGGTGATATCGTTGCACTAATTGTCGCACGGCCATCTTATGCAGTTAAACCCGTCATTGACCGAGGGGATTGTCAAATCTCCCCCGTCGAAGGTTTGTGATGCTTCAGAAGCGCGTTGAGGTATTCGTGCACAGATTTCACTTGCTATCAATCTTTAAGTTTTATGCCTTGCGCCAAAATGGCAACTATGAGGCTAAGCTAGGCTAGAATTATTTCATTATTCACCTGCGTTGTCGTATTGTTTCAATGTTCCACATTGAAATATTTGCATGTCGAATAGCAAAGATAGTGATGAAAGTATGTTGCAAATTGTCGATGTTTGATCCAACTTATAAAGTACCTGAAACACCGTGCACAATGAAGAATACTTACAAAGTTCCAAGCGGCTGTCTGTAACAGTGACTAAGTTCTGACTTGAAATGCGTAGTGGCGTGTGTTGGCAGCGCCGATGTGGGCTCGGACCCACGGCAGGGGACGGCGGGGCTCCGGCCGGCCGCGGCGGCGTCGTGACCAGACGGCGAAAGCCTCTCTTGTGGTGTGGTCCGAGACCATGCGCCACGTTCCTATCGTTAGCCATTTGAATTTTTGAATTCGGCTCGACCGTTCTTGAGATAAGCAGAGGGGAGGGGTGCCAAATTTGCCCTCCTCCCCCCCCCCCCCCCCACCTCCTCTCCTCCGATCATTGATGCGCTGCTCTGAAGCCAGGTCGATGCTAGGTTAAAAATCGATCTGATTAGCTCAGCCCATGAAAGGGGCTCTTCCTTTTGTGTTTTCCGTAGGGGTGAGCTCTGCTTGTCTTGAACCTGGACTGTGAGGAATAGTATAAGGGCCCGCTGTTTTATAAGGGCCAGAGGCAATACGTTTGTTTGACGTTGTTTGTATTCGTTCCATTGCTGTTTTTTGTAAGTGGTAGACGAGCAGCACGTCACGGGTCTGAAGAGAATCAAGAACATTCAGATAGAGCAAACTGGTGTCATGGCAGTTCCATTTTGACAAATGGATTCAAATCGCCGGGGGACGTACCTGGGTTCCGAACGTATTGTGCTTTTGGTGCGATAAATGACGGCTATGGGAATGGTTGGTACGGGCACTGGGTCGCGGCGGTCGTTGCGGCTGTGTTCCAGCCTTTGAATTGAGTCACGAACGCCAGCCGAACAATGGAAGCCGCCCGGCGCCGGACATGTCCACGCGCCCCCGCGCGTGAGCGTGACGCTCCGAGTGTTAACTCACTGATAGCGGCGGCGGCGGCGTGGGCGACCGGCACGCTGGCTAATCATGTCGGCCAGTCCGGACCGGAACGGCGGACCGGTCGGGCCAAAACAGCGGACTGGAACAGCGGACTGATTCTGACCGGCTCTGATCGGATCGGCTCGGCAGTTCGCTGCGGACCGGGGCGGACCAGCACGCACTGGTGTACGTCGGAGCGTTCCGTCACCAGACCGGGCTGAGGGTGGCCCCCGTCCTCTGAGGAGCCACCGGCAGGCGGCTCCCCTGTACTCCCGATCTGGCCGGACAGTGCCGCGTCCGTCGGCCTCACAGAGCCGGCGCCACTGTGCCGCTCCGCGGCGTCTGGCTGGGGCGCGGCTGTCGTCGGCTCCCTGCCCGGGCCGTGGCCGCAGAGATCGCGCAGCGAACCGTGGCTCGGATCAGACGAGCTCAATCGCCGACAGCGGGTCGCGGGGTCCATCCTCGCGGGCGGTTGCGGCCCGTCGGGACTAGGACGTGGGCGCGGTGGCTCGTGACGCTCCCTCCCCCTGCCCTTTCATCCCCCTCCCCCGGGTGATAGCTGACTATGTGCCGACTTCGCCTCTCTGTCTTCGCATGACCCTGTCTCGGCCGCGTGCAACCGGTCAGTCGGTGCATGCCGTCTGTATCTGCGTGTAAGCCTTGGATTCCCGCTGCGCGCATTGTGGCTCACTTTGTCTTTCTCCGTGTGCGCTGCTGGACTGCTTTTGTGTTATCGAGCTTTTCTTACGGTTTGTCGGTACGGTTTATCGTGTGATGTGTTTTCAAGTGGGTGAAGTGTCTAAAGCTTTGTCATTGTTGCAGTTACGGTTTATGGTTAGCAGGCGACGTTCTTGTAACCTCAGGTCACCGTTGTGGCTTTTGAAAATACATTGTTTTTATGGTGTTTTGCACTACGAATGAGATCATTTTTCGGGCTGTCGTTATTGCCTGGTGTGGTGCTTTGTACACAACGGTTGGCCGAGTTAATTCTCTGACCGTCTCCCGGTATTTCTGAGACCTCAGGACTAACTCTCTGACCGTCTCCCGGTATTACTGAGACCTCAGGACTAACTCGCTGACCGTCTCCCGGTATTACTGAGACCTCAGGACTAACTCTCTGACCGTCTCCCGGTATTACTGAGACCTCAGGATTAACTCTCTGACCGTCTCCTGGTATTACTGAGACCTCAGGATTACGTGGTGTTCGGTTGTCAGCCATGTTCGGTCATTTTTCGAATCCCTGCCTTGGAATTGCCGGGACTCGAACCGGGGTCGCCTGGTCGTGATTCCAGCGCTCTACCAACTTAGATAACCGGGAAGGGCTCGGCTCAGTTTGATAGAGTGCTGGCTCACCATCAGATACTTTGTTTCAAAGCGCAGCAATTCCAAGGAGAAATTTTAGATGGTGGCGCAGGCATAGCCGAAAATCAAACGCCATTCAGACCTTCTCAGGACTAATAACACCTGACGACGGGTGGAGAACAAACCGGCGAGAACTTTGTGCACATACCAACGCACCACATGAAGGCCCGAACAATGATTCCATTCGTGCTCTAAATGCCTTGCTGCAATCTCTCCGCAAACCTCCGAGTTAATTTGTTGCTGTATGTCAAGCGGTTCCGCTTGCTTCGCCGTCACATGTCTCGGCTCACTGGGACGCCCGTGTGCGCGCAGATGTCTATCGTTGAGTACTTCCATTGCAAGCACTGCCACCGCCAGAAGACCATGCAGGTGTGCTGCCTGCACGTGCACCCCTGGTTCTGGGCCATCTACTCGATGGTGGGCGTGTTCGCGTTCGGCGCCGCCTGCTCCCAGCTGGCGACAGACATCGGTGAGGCCACAGTCGAGCGCTGCCGCCGGTGGCACCCGCCGGCTAGTGGCGGCACGGTGACGGGTCCCGCGGGCAGCGGCTGGCCGTGACGGGGCTGGGAGCTGCCGACGCCGCGCCCGTGACCCGGCGCCGCGCTAGCCGGGGCCGCGGGAGCGAGCGGCTGCCCTGCGCCGGCCGCGTCGAGCTGGCGCCGTGCTGCTGACCCGACGCCGTCGGGCAGCGCCCCCAGGTGGTCAGCGTGCTGCCGCCGCGCCACTGGCGCCGCCGTCAGACGGCGCTGGCATGACCCGAGGTCGAATGCTGGACGGGAGAGCATTGGTGCTCGCCAGTTGGACGGAGCTATCGAAGTGCTCTGGACTTGCACGGCCCGCGCGACCTCAGTTGTTGTTTTAAGTGGTGACCGTTGTTTGTTAAGAAATACTGTCTGTAGCGCGTCTATGCTGTTGTGCCTAGTCATGCGATCTGGTTACATTTGTTGTTGCTAAGCGTCGCATTTGGTAGATACCGAGTGTTTGCATCGGTATTGCCTTTCAGGCAACGGTGTATGAGCCTGATAACGACGTTGCGTGCATAGGAACATTGCGTGCGTTAGCGTGCATTAAAACCCCCATTTATCATCGTCTTCAGCTAATGAACATCCTTCCAGTCGCATACGTTTGAAGCCTGATTTTGTTTAGTGAATCATATCCCGCGTTGTGCATGTCTTATCCTCAGTCTCTCCAGCACGTGTCTAGTGGTGCATGCCCAACAGGTTCTTGATCTGCCTCGATCTGTTTTCCGCTCGTCAGGTGGGTCGCTAGCGATGGGTCCGCTACTGCTGACACCGCTGTCCGGCCCCGCGGCCGATCCGTCTGACGCGTCTGACACCTGCCCCTGACCCGTCTGACGCGTCTGGCACCTGCCCCTGATCCGTCTGACGCGTTTGACACCTGCTCCTGACCCATCTGACGCGTCTTACACCTGCCTGTGACCAGTCTGCCGCGTCTGACACCTGCCCCCGATCCGTCTGACGCGTCTGACACTTGCCCCTGGTCCGTCTGACGCGTCTGACACGTGAACCCGACCCGTCTGACGCCTGCGTGTGACCCGTCTGACGCACCTGACACCTGTCCCTGACCCGTCTGACGCACCTGACACCTGTCCCTGACCCGTCTGACGCACCTGACACCTGTCCCTGACCCATCGGACGCGTCTGACGCCTGCCTCTGACCCGTCTGGCGCGTCTGACACCTGCCCCTGACCCGTTCGACACCTGACCCCGACCCGTCTGACCTCAGGGAAGTACACGATCGGGCGGCTGCGCCCGCACTTCATCACCGTCTGCCAGCCGGACTTCAACAAGATCAACTGTTCGGGACACGCGTTCATAGAGGACTTCGAGTGTTTGGGAGACAACGTGAAGGCGATCAGGGAGGCAAGGTGGGTGGAGGCGTCCCAGCCGTGGCCGTCGGGCCGGGGTCAGTCTCCGGGGCGGAGACGGGCGCTGTCCCTGACGGAAGGGAATGTGGGTGGCGGCGTCCCAGCCGTGGCCGTCGGGCCGGGGTCAGTCTCCGGGGCGGAGACGGGCGCTGTCCCTGACGGAAGGGAATGTGGGTGGCGGCGTCCCAGCCGTGGCCGTCGGGCCGGGGTCAGTCTCCGGGGCGGAGACGGGCGCTGTCCCTGACGGAAGGGAATGTGGGTGGCGGCGTCCCAGCCGTGGCCGTCGGGCCGGGGTCAGTCTCCGGGGCGGAGACGGGCGCTGTCCCTGACGGTGGGTGACCTCTGACGTTGCAACCCGACGCCGCCCGACCTGAAGTGTCCAACCTGAGACGAATCCGGCTATGAGGCTTGCTTGCTACGTTGATCGGGGAGGGGGGGAGGGGGGCTTTGACCGGTACGGCAGGTGGTGTCCCTGGGTTGGATCTGTTCTCCCCCGAGCCGTCACAGGCTGGACGGCTCGGCTGGGCCTGACTCATGCGCTTGTTGCAGGCTTTCGTTCCCGTCCGGCCACGCTTCGTTCTCGTTCTACACCATGGTGTACCTGGCGGTGAGTAGTATGGCGGCGGCGGCGGCGGCGGCGGGACGCTCCCGGTCGCGTCGCTCCCGTCGTGTGTGGCGTCCGCGGGATCTGGGGGTCGGCCGCTTCCCCGGTGCCGTTGAACGGCCTGGTGGCACGTCATCCCCGACACGTTTCAGTTCGGCGCCTCTATCGGGGGCTGGGCTGGTCGACGCGACTAAGGCTCGGTGTTCCATGGCAAGTCCCATTGGGAGGGCATCCCGCCGGCATTGTCAGTAAACTTGACAATGCCAGCAGGATAATAAACGATGTTCCCAGACCTCCTGCAACGTATTCCTGGTCCCTGTTCCTTTGTTCTCAGTCTCCCGTTGGCTACGCGGGCGTGGACATAGCATTGCTGACATGGGTAAGGCTGCCTGCAGTCAGCATCCGGGACGGAAAGCCAGCTGTTTTCCCCGCGGCCCAACGTGCTGATGAACGCAACCGTGGCCTTGCACTGACATCGTACTGGGTTGCAACTGTGCCTGCCGAGGAGGGCGGGGGGGCGGGGGTCCCGTCGTACTGTCGCGCTGTGTACCGCACACTTGTGATGATGTGGCATGCACCACATACGCCTCTGGCGTGCTGGCGTGTTGTGTCCCACATACGTCTGTCGTGCTGGTGTACTGTGTCCCACACACGTCTGTCGTGCTGGTGCACTGTGCCACACACGCCTGTCGTGCTGGTGCACTGTGCCACACACGTCTGTCGTGCTGGTGCACTGTACCACACACGTCTCGTGCTGGTGTACTGTGTCCCACACACGTCTCGTGCTGACTAACGGCACCCTCTCTCGACGGTACGTACGGCAACCGTACGTACCGTCAGGGGTGTAAGTCGGCCGGTGACATGCGCGCCACGTCCCTGCTCATCATGCTCCACATGTCACGGACGTGACGCTCGGTTCTGAAAAGTTCTTGTTCCATGCCTGGCTAGAAGATGAGTGATTTCATCTTGTGTTCATTTACTCATATAGCATCGGGTGCTGCTCTAGTTCCGAGCATTCTGTTCTAAAAACATTCGAGCGTTTGATTTTTTGTTCAAAACTGCAATCAACACGCGCTTGCAACCACTCTCGCAAGGACAGTTGACCGAGGACGCAAGGACAGTTGACCGAGGTGCTGCGCCCCCGCGAAAGGACACACACTATATGGAGCGAGAACGGGTGTGTGGAGACCATGGTGTCCGCCGCTCAAGCGGAGGCATGAGTTGACCAGCAATGTTTGTCGAGCTCGCATCCGGCGCATGATAGGTGATCTGGCCCTGCATCAGGTGCCGGTTTCCGGTCACGTATGCAGACTCCGCGTGACCGCACCGGCACACTGATCAGCAGCAGCCAGTGTTCGGCGTCCCCTGTCCCCCCCCCCCCCCCCCCTCCTCCCGGTGCCGCACGGGCACCGCCAGCGTGCGTATAGGAGAGATCTGGTGTGCCAAAAGACCAACGTCCGAAAAACGCGCAGCGTTGCTGAGCACAGACGGCGTCGTTTCACGCACTGGCCCGTTGCAGCGCAGCTGACGAAATGCTTGCGCGGGGCGGCAGGCACCTGTCTCACTGACGTCGCCCCCGTTCCTGCAGCTGTACCTGCAGGCGCGCCTCACGTGGCGCGCCACCAAGCTGCTGCGGCCGTTCCTGCAGTTCATCTGCGTGATGCTGTGCTGGTACACGGCGCTCAGCCGCGTCTCCGACTACAAGCACCACCCGACCGACGTGCTGGGCGGCGCCGTGCTCGGCACCGTCGTCGCCGTGGTCGTGGTACGTGCCGCCGGCGAGGCGACCGCCCGTTCGGTTGCGCTGAGGGCGGGGTGGGGCAGTGCGGAGGATGCCCCTCCGGAATCGCGGTGTAACGGCGTTGTCGGCGTGTCCGTGGCCCGGCAAACGAGGAAGCTCAAGACCGCTCAGCTTGTTCGATGTTTTAAAGTATGAGGTGCGGACATGAAATTTTCAAATTAAAAGCAGTAGTGTTACCGTGTGCGGGCGCGAAAGCGACGATCGTATTCCACACCCCTAGAACACCAAGCCGCAGCGCAAATAGTCACAAGTTGTCTGGCGCACGTGAGCCAGCAGACTTCACCCATGTCGTTTCCCATTAATTGGGTTTTCTGGTTGTAGGTTTGTACCCAGGTTATCTCGATGTACTCCCTCCAGCTTGTCCAGCCTTTTTTATTGCGTCAACATCCTGAATTACGAAGGTTTTCACGACGAATGCGCGTCCCCAACTACGTACATCAATAGTTATCTTTAAAAAAACATTGCAAATCATCATGTTGACAATAGGAAACGTGATAAATGTTTTGCGTGACTGTGGAGATGATCTCCGTTTTTATGTGACACTGCGATCTGGCTCCGCCCGCCGCCGCTCACCAGTTGCCGCCCGCCGCCGCTCACCAGCTGCCGCCCGCCGCCGCTCACCAGTTGCCGCCCGCCGCCGCTTACCAGTTGCCGCCCGCCGCCGCTCACCAGTTGCCGCCCGCCGCCGCTCACCAGCTGCCGCCCGCCGCCGCTCACCCCGCCGGTGGTCCGGCGCCGCCCCGACGCGGCACGAGCAAACGGCTGACCGTCCCTGGCCTCCAGAGCTGACCGCCCTCCCCCGCCCACAGGCCGTCTACGTGTCCGGCATGTTCAAGAAGCGCTGCGCGGCGGCCGACGTCCAGCCTCCTTCCCGGCAGAACACTATCGACAACACCGACATACCGTAGCGACCGGGCCGGGCCGGGCCGGGCCGTGTCGGGTCGGGTCGGCCCAGGCCCGTGTCCCCAGACGCTCTGCTTGTTATCTTCCGCGGCGGAGGCGCTCGTGGGCCGCGGCTCTCATTGGATTGGCGTGATGGCGAAATGGTGCTCGTATTGGGCGGTTTTGTGTGACGAGGCGTGAACAGCGATGTTGGGCTGCCGCTAAAGAAATAAGTAGACTATCATCTAGTTCAAACAAGCGGCGTCATGCATGAAAGCGCTCATGCCTTGTTTCATGCAAACGCACGGCAGGAGATAGTGGATTGTGCCTCACGTTTTTCTCCGTAGGTCTGCCATCTAGAATTTGTCTTGATATGGGTTCGTCGCTTGCGGTGCGAATGCTCATACGAGTGGAACTAAAAGCGTGCATCGTTTTTTTTTTGGGGGGGGGGGTGGGAGGTTGATCCAAATCTTTCGAATGGATGGACAACTGGGATTAGAGTTCACGTTAAGCAGTGCTTGTGTGAGGCTTGACCCCTACCGTCAGATCGCGAAAATTCCAGGTAAACGGCAGGATTTGGTAGCGCAAGTTAAGCTAGCTGCAGCGCCCGGCAAGGTTCGTGCTGCCCTCTGACGTCACCCGACCGGCCGCCGCAGCGGCCTTCGTTCACACTTTTTTTTGTGATGAAGCTAGGTCCATGTTGTGTATCCGTCATGCGATGAACTGGCAAGATATTTGCGAGCAGTCGTCGGTAGTGTTTTTTTATGATCGGCAGTCCGGTGATGTTATGTGTAAAAAGGTCTACCGCACATATTAACTAGTATGTTCATCCGATACATTCTGCATTTCAGCGTGCAGTCCAATTCTGATAGCATGGAATGAATTATGTGTGGATGCATTGCTAAAACATGAGCGCTGCATGATTTTGTCCAAAGCTGAAGGGATTTGTTTTTAATTATTCCAATATCGTACAAAGCGACATGTCACGGCTGCGATGCGTCTTATCTACCCCCAAAACGGTGCACTGTCTCCTAACCAAACAGTGTTTTGCGTAGTTGAAGTTCAAGCCCAAAAACGACAGCCGGCATCTTGCTTATGACATCTTGTCGAAATACCTCGCCATTCCTCGGAATGTATGTCTGTGGCGTAAATGCGGGAGACGAAAAAATGTTCTAGCCCGTGGGAGCCGAATTTTGGACACGCGTCATGAGCAGTGGTGAGAACCACGACCGTACTTGTTTGTGCTGGTGGCCGTATCAGTCACAAGCGGCCGATACTGCGCCACGTCACAGGCTCGGTCGGCCTGACCACCGTGACGTCACGGGTAGACCCGTAGTACCGTGGTGCGCGCGTGGCGAACTGCGGTGACGTTTACGTATACTGTAGAGGTGGCGGCTGGTCACGGGTTCCGAGTGCCGGGCACGTCGAAGTCCATGTGCGACTGTCCGACCGGCTGACCTCCGCCGCAGCCGCCGTTGCGGAAGGGAGCGGTGCTCTGCCCGTGTTAACGTCGCGTATTTGCAGCTCGTATGAATGCTCTCTGTCGCCTCGTTCCCAGTAAGCTGTGGCCCAGCCGTGGCAGGCAGTTGTACGTAGTGTTGCAAAAGTCAGCTATGGTTTGGTGATTTCCGTTAGTGGTGCTTTTTGTGTTGTTAACTTTCTGTGGGGGGTATCTAGCTCTTCCCTCAGGGAGGTGTGACGTATGGCGTACCATGAACGGCTTGAAAATGTGTGCCCGACATCATCGACGCCCGACAACGTAACGTTAAAATATGTGGTCGCAATGCGCTTTTAGATCATTTTGTTTCAACGCTGTCAGAACCGGGAACCGGTCCGCGGCGTCACTTTGTTCAGAGACCTTAAAGTCTCTCAGTTATTGGTCCCTGGATGTGACACCTTTCAGTCGACCTACATTGTAACGCATAGCAGGAGAGTTGGAGAACGAATTTCTGAGCCAATGTTTGAGGGCTTTGGCCGTATTGGAGTGTGTTGAGATTGTGTTGTTTGCTCTAAACAATCTAAGATACTTGCATACTAACCTTCGTGCAATGTGGCAGGCTGCTGTTTGGTAGCTCTTCAGGTGGCTCAAACCTCTATCTTTTTTAGTTACTAATTCATTTAGTGCACGGTCCGTATACTTTGTGGTTGTAAGATTATATTGTAAGTGTTCATTCACATGATGTGTTTGATTATATCCTCGCTGGAATATCGCGCAATACATATAGTGCACCTGTAGCGATTCTTCGACCTCATTTTATGGAGGTGCGTGTTAGGTCCTCGTCTACACTGGGTTCTCCCTCTTGCTGAAAGCCTTGCAAGAATGAGTGACTGACATGGCTGGATCAAATTGGACCTACTGAAAGTTGGTTTTTCAGTGTTCAATGCACGAACGTACGTGACTTCATGACGCGTTCCCAAGGTGTGCGTTGATCTGTGTTAAGGTCCATTTCCATCGGAGGCCTGCTACTTAGAAACTAAATTGTGCTCAGTCGATTTAGCGCTGCCTCAATTAACGTGATGCATCGAGAATGATATGATTGGAATCCCACATGTTAGCTGCCCAGGTATTTTGGCTTAATGACGCATGTTTACACGGACTCGTAATCGCATCAAGCGTTGAACCCAACCCTGCGACGCGATGGTTGCAAGACGTGGCATTCCGCAGGATATGCAGAGAAGGGGCTATGCTCAGGGGTGGGACCTCACGAGAATTGATGCCCTGATGATCCAACTAGTGATCGGAGGTAGGGGAAAGCGGGGCAAAATGATGCACCCTGGTAAAACGGGCACCCCGCGATTTCGGCTGTTAGAGGTCGCGTCATCGGAAATCAATGGCTTAAGCTAAAGCCTCTCTGACGGGACGGAAATGACGTGCACCAGGCCTTTCTGTCGGCGGCCGTGGTTGGAGGAGGATGTGAGTTTTGGCTTTCCCTTTTTTGTTATTGTTTTTATGGTGATTTGAACGCTGTTTATTGTACGAGTATAATGAATCGTGAATTCAAAGTTGCTGCGCTTTGGTGGTGTATGCATGCAGATTCCTTGTGAGCAATTGTGAATTTTTCGGGCCAATTTTCGTTGCGTGTCGAATCATGTTGTGTTGTTGGCGTCCATGGGGCAGAATGGTTGGGGCAAAATGGGCACTCGGGGGGGGGGGGGGGGAAATAGCACACAAAAGCTCCCGTTTGTCCCACCTGAAATATGACTATTGCAAGGAAAGCTTGGCTTAAATAAGCCATGAACACTGTTCCAATGGTAGTAGCAGGTACATGAGTAGGGCCCGAAACAAGTGAATCGATTCTGTTTCATTTCCATGATTAAATGGTGGTCGAACTACTACGTCAAACTGGGAATGTGCGGCCTTGCGATTTGTCGTTTATAAGTGATTGAGGGCGCGCACGTGATGGCTCTATATTTATCGTTCCTTTTAAGCCTAATTTATTGTAATTATGTTGTTTAACAAAGCTTATTTGTGAACATAAGGTTTGTAAGTACCTACCTGTGATGACTTGATTCAGTATCACGCATTTGCCCACCTCTTTGATAGTCTCTATAACTTACTTGTTAATCAGCAAACAAGCAACAACGACTTTCGACCGACCCGTTATGAAAAACGTATCCTAAAAGGTAGCTTAGGCTACGAAAAAGGTGAAAAGTTCATACATTTTTGGTCATTATTGCATAAAGCTCACAGTACGTTTCGTACTTTTCCGTACATTTAAATGGTGTGTTTCTCTGCATGCACAGACACTGGCGTAAGTACTAACGCATAGGTATTCTCTCTGATAGACCTGGGGTGAAAAAATAAATTTAAGTTTTCTTTTCTCTGCTTACGGGCAAGACCCAGCAAATTGCAATAAGTTGTAATGCTTATTTACCATGTTGTGCCCAGAAACGGTGCCAACTCCAATAAAGTGGGAGAAAGCCTTGCATTCCCTTAAAAAATATACGATTCAGTGTTTTGTTTTTAAATTATTTAATAGTTCAACGTTTTCTTGTTCCTTAAACATTAAGACTGACTTATTGTATAGTATTACATAGAAGGTGTTTTATCACATCGTCCTTAATATTAAACGTAGCTAATTTAACACAAGGACTGAAATGCCCTATAACCAACTAGTTATAGGCATGCAGTTGGGTATTTTGCTTTGATAATTGTACTTAATTTTCCGTGGCGGGTAAACGTTTCCCTTGTTTATTAAAATAAATATAGGTAAACTGGTGGGTCCAGGGAGGGGTGGGAAGGGGAGGGGGGCTTAAGGGGCAAATGACCGAAGAGAAAAACCGATCGGCAATCCTGGAAGCGGGGTACGATGGCGAAGGCCATCAAAGCAGTCGAGGTGGGAAAAAGGTCCACCAAAGAAGCGGCTGGCCGCTTTCTGGTCCCGAAGTCGACTCTTGACAGGCGGCTGAAAAAGGCACGGGCATTGTCAATAACAGAGGCCACAGAGAAGGTCCTGGGTCGACACGAACCTGTTTTCACGGAAGCTCAGTAGCGAGATTTGGTACAGCACATAATGGAGCTCCAAAACCGGAGGTTCGGAATAGCGCTGACTGACCTCAAGAAGCTCGCATATGAGTTCGCGGACAGGAACAAAATCACCCACCCATTCAACACGGTGACGAAGATGGCAGGGGAGGCGTGGATGCGATGCTTCTGCAAGAGGAACCCCGCGGTCTCACTAAGGATACCAGAGGCCAAAAGCGCTGCTCGCGCGCGGCGTTCAACTCAGTCAGTGTCAACGCGTTCCTCGACAACCTTGAGTCGCAGACGGATTCTGCCCAGTTCGGTCCTACACGCATCTACAACATGGATGGAACGGGATTCAACACGGTCGCAACAAAGCAAGAGAAGGTGCTGGCGAGGAAAGGGTGCAAGCAGGTCGGCCAACTGACATCTGCGGAACGAGGCACGCTGGTTACCGGGGTGATGTGTATCAACGCTGTAGGGAGCTACATACCTCCAGGTGTGATATTCCAAAGAAAGAGAGCCCACCAGCAGCTGGAGAATGGTCTTCCCCTAGGTAGCCTGGTGCTGTACCATGAGTCTGGTTGTATGCAGAAGGAGCTGTTCGTGAAATGGCTTGACCATTTCATACCGCACGCGAAGCCCTCGAAACAGGATCCAGTCCTTCTCATATTGGATGGACATGCCAGCCACACCAAGAGCCTCGCAGTCATCCTGCTGTGCAGGGAAGCAGGTGTGGTGATGCTCACCATTCCTCCGCACACCTCACACCGCCTTCAACCACTGGACTGGACGTTCATGCCTCCCGTCAGCACCTTCTTCTTCCAAGGTCAGAGAACGTGCTCCGAAACAACCCTGGTAAAGTCGCCACACTGTTTGAGATGGGGGAGCTGATCGGGTCAGCCTACGTGCAGGCGGCAACAGTGAAGACGGCGTTGAAGGGCTTCGAAGTCATGGGGATCTTCCCACA